CGGGTTGAATTGTTTCACACATCCACAAAAACCACAGTTTTTTTGGCTACAATCACACAATAGGTTTTACCAAGATTAAATGTTTCAGGTTCGGGCAACTCTCAAGAATGGCAGGCAAAATGGGTAAGGAGGAGCTCGCGAAAACGGCTTGTAAGCGGGATAAGTTGTTGAATTTGGGAACCGGCCCTACTTTTACTTGTGAGTAGATATCAAGGAGCATGAACTGAAAAAGGATATTAGTGAGGGGATTCCAATTATGCAACGTCCATGAACTAATGATGATGTATAGAAAAATCTACCTTTACTGTTCGCTGAGAGATGATCATATGTCTTACACTTGATATCCCGGTGAGAAAATCACTGATGATAACGATACCTCGTAACCACATCATCCTCAAGCACACGATAACGATACCTCGTAACCACAGATTCCTCATTAAGAGACGAACACCCCTGAGCAAGGACAATTCTTCAAGAAGAGGACATCCTGAGAGAAGCTTTTCAAGAGTCATGGGAGCAAGCCATCGGATATCTCGATGATGCATGAGTTTGAGACAAGGCAAAGACACAAAACCAGGATCGTGAAGACCCGAATCAGAGAGCTTTAAGGAGACCAATGTCTTGCAGGTATAGAGATTCAGAGGCATGGTATCAACAAAAGGAAGGAGGCGCCCTTCCTCTCGGTAGAAGACACTACTCTTGACATATAGATGTTGTATTCTGTGGTCAATCACAGTAGCAATCCGATCCTTGAGCCCATCGATTTCCACAATCCTGGACTTGAGTTTGAATGTTTGCAGACGTAGCTGAGGGAGAAATTTCTCGTGGAAGGTCATGAACAGAAAAGGGACGTCTTTGTACTTCAAATCCACTTCCAATACAGGAACGTTAAGACACTGATTCTTCCATCTAGTTGATAAAGCACTCGTCTTCACCGAGTCATTAACCGGAAGGTACGAGAGTATTCCAGACAACAAAGACTCCGGCAATTCGCTGATTCTATCCATCATCCTAACAGCAATAATCAAACTCCTAAGATTTCAGATTCGATGATTATTGACGAATCGGAGGAGGAATTAGACTCACCGTGGATTTGCGTCTCTACAAGGATGCAATCGGTGGAGTAAAAGTTGAAGACCGAGAAGAAGAGGAAGGTTGCGATGAGCTTTTGAGGATTCACCGGTACTGAAAAGACGTTTGCATTACCGAGGAGGACAAGAAACGTTTCCATCTTTCTTTTTCTAGGGGTTTAAAGAGAAATATATATTTATACTATATAAAAATTAAGGGCTATAAACTCCTGAAAGATTTAAATCAACAGTTATGTGTCATGTCAACATTTTAGAATTAAGTTAATTTTGTTGTTATTGTTAATTGGAAACTAAACATATTTTCTTTATTTCATAAACTTATTATAACTTCAAATAATTTCCA